GATATACAGGGCTTTAAGGTAGAGTTATTATTTTTATTTTAAGAAATTATTTGAAAAATAAATAAATATGCATGCTTAACAGCAATTGAAAGTATTGCTCAGTTCAACAGATAACGTCTTCAACAAATCTACAAGAATGTGATTAAAATTTTGGTCGAAGATTTTTTCCTACAGTTGATGTAGTTGCCCGACTATTTTGTATTCCAAATGAAGAAAAGGAGTGATCCCGTTGTAGCCACACTTTGTACACACACAAATGTTTTTTTTTGTTATGAGGGCGTGGAATTATTTCAAGTTTTTGGCAGAACTCTATAATACCGAATGTTGCTTATGAATCCAATATTCTTATTAGCCGAATTAGTTATCAATATTATTGACTGGTACAAATGGACTGTTAGCTTTTATCTTTGGAATTAAACTGAACATATCATTTTAAAAGTAGGCAGGGGCAATGACACAACTAGCCTACAAAGCAAAAACGAAAGCTTTGGAAAAATTGCGATTTATTACTCACTTGATTCAGCAATGCTTCAACTTTCTCGTCTCAACTTGTCTGAAAAACACTTACTACAAGTATACCGATAACCACCTCATTTAACAAAAATTTTTGACCACCGATGACTTTTTTTAGACCAGATAGTTGTCTTGGATGAAGAGCACGTTTTCCTTCGCCGAATGAAACAACGAATACTACAACGAATTACTGGAAAAATAATTCGTTGTAGAATCGAGCCATTAGTTCGGCATAGTGGAGTTCGGTGAGCGATGTGCCATTCACCATGTAACTAAAGTCGATCACCTCGTGTGAATCCAAAAAAAAAGCAAAAACAAAAGGTCCTCTGCTTTCTAACGATAGGATAGAGTTTGCTTTCTTCTAGTGTCTCAGCTACTTTGCGCCACATATATTGGACGGTATCTTAATTGGACGTGGGTGTGATAACATTGGAATCACCCACCGACGTTGTTATTTTTACAATTTTATATTTAGATTTCTTATTGGACCATTCATATGCAATGTAAAATACATTTAATATTATATAATAAAAGGATACTTTCGTTGTTGATTTACGTGAGTACCTGCCGGCGACGGCCTTACCTCAAGGTGCTCCAAAGCACAACGTATCAATACAATGCGTTGATAAGCGCCCCAAATAATACGAGCTATTTGCAAGTATTAATTTGGTTACCAGTGGCAGTGTGTCTGGGCCCACACTACCATCTTGGTAAGATTCGAGGCCGACCTAAAACCTCTTCCGTTTTCGGGTACGGAACCCAGTTGCTTTTTGCAACTTCTTTTTAGAACTGAAAAAACAGGCTGAATTTTCAGTTCTTCCTGCATTTAGGTTTCAACCAAAGCCACCACGAATCTCCCCAAAGGGGCCATAACCCAATGAACAGATTGGACCGAAGTCCAAGGGCTTTCTGCTCCCCGTGGTACCAGAAAGTCTCCGGTAAGACTGTGTAGCCGAAACTACTGCCAGTTTAGCAACCCATTACTCAATGACTGGTGACAACTTCAAATGTCTTTTTATTTGGGATTTCATTTAAAGTCTATAATATCAGTTCAAGCTGAGTATTATAGCACTATTTCTGACATTATTTACTATGCTGATAATTCTGAGCAAAATAAATTAACAGTCATAGTGCATTTGGCTTTTAGTCGCCTTTTACGACAGGCATGCCTTACCGCGGGTAAATTCTTACCCCTACCCGCAGGGGGAAATATAAAAGGATAATAATATTTTGTGTTAGTGCCGTGTGCTTATGGTCTAAAAGTGGATCGTGCTCAGCCTAAGATAAATTGCCCCAAATGCAACGCTGCTGATAATGTAAGTATGGAATATCTCACTCCCGCTGCTTTACCTTCAGCCGCTACCAACGCTGTTAAAATTGCCAATACTTGTACATATGCTTAGGCTGTTGGTAGGAATGTCAAGGCTCACTCGCAAGCCAGTGCCAGAATTAGTCCAATTGTTGCTGCTAAGCCTGGTCGCATCAAAAATGCTGTTAATGCTGCTCCATCAGCTGCTTTTGATCATACCGTGCTTGATTTTGTTAATCCGAACTCTTCGACTTCAATTAATGCTAATGGTACTTTGAAATCAACAGTGAGCACTAGGAAAACAAAATCTCCGGCTGCTCCAACTGTTGTTGGTATTAATGCCATTCATTTGTCTGTCTCTGTTACTGAGGATGGGATTATATCTTTCGTTCTTAATCATGCTAATTTTGATAGACAAAATCTTTTATGTTATAAACGTATTAAATACTTATACTAATAGTAATGAACTTAAGAGGTTAAATTTTAAGCTAGATGGGCCTCATTTTGTTTTAATTCCGTCCTGGCGTTAAGCTGCGCCTTTTTAAGTTTTTTCCAAAGAGAGATGAAAACAAAGATGAGGACTAGTTGATGCCCCTGGTAATCATAATTTTGCCCGTCCGTTACCTTCGCCTAATTGTTCTTGTCTTAAGGTCTACTATCAAAACTTATCTGGTATTAGGTCTAAATCAAATATTATTCGTACATTTTCTTCACGTTTGGATTTTTATATTTACGTTATTGTTGAAACCTGGCTTAAAACTAATTACTATGACAGTGAGTATTTAGTTTTTGTCTCTGTTCATTGTTGTCTCCTATATCCTTCCTAATAGTCCTCTAGAGTTGTATAAGATGCATGCAAATAATATATTTTCTCACTGATTTTAAATAAGTTGAAACAGACAAATATTTGTGTTCTTGGTGATTTAATTTAAGTGATATTGTCTGGCCCAGCTATTCTTACAGACCTGGCCTTTTTCCCTCCTACTTTTCGTCTTATCACGAGTTGTATCTCATTAATAGCCTGCTATATCTCATTCAAATCAACTCTTATTCAAACAGCCTTTATCGATTTCTTGACTTAGTCTTTCTCAGTGATAATTTAAACTTTAGATTCCTTGATGGCTTCTCTTCCACTACCATTTATCATTATCCTTTAATCCTTCTCGATACTTATCTTTTCGCTTCTGCCAACCTATTGAGGGAATAAGTTTTAATTTTGCTTTGTGTGATTTCAGAAAACTTAACGTTCTGCTCCTTGGGCTTAAATGAATGAATGATTTATTTTCTGCATTAAATATTGATAGTTCTTTTCCATTTTTGAGAAATCTATTCACGAATTAAAGTTAAAAATATAAAACCTTATAAGCTCCCTTGGTATACTAAGGACCTCGAACGGATGAAAAATCTTAAAAATAAATATTATAGAAATTTCTCGTTTATTACCATCTTCGTTCAATTTTAACATTATGCAAAATTGTTTAATAATTTGGATAAATTAGTCTATAAAAGGTTTATTGACAGCACGGAGTCTAACATTAAGTCGAACCCTAATTCTTTTTAGAACTTTGTGAAATCTAGAAGGGCGTGTTCGGCCATTCCTTCGTCTTTATGCTGGGGGTGATAAGTCGTCATGCGTTCCTGGGGAAATTCCCAACTTATTAGCTGAATTTTTCAAATCTAATCATGTACATGATCAGCTTGGCACTACTTCTAGTTTTCTGATAACAATTTTTCATTTGTAAATTTTGGCACACTGTGTCTTTCGCAAAATGATATTGCCAAAGCTATTTGTGATATCAAGCCTTCTTTCAAAATTGATCTTGATGGGTTGCCGCCTGTACTTATAAAAAATTGTCCTGTCTTTGTTATCCTCTCATGCTTCTCTTCAATTAGCCTTTGTCATCAGGTGACTTTATTTCAGACTGGAAATTGACATTCATTACACCTATCCTTAAAGGTGGTAGAAAGAATTTTGTATCCAATTATAGGCCTATTTTCAAACTCTCAGTCATTTCCAAAAAGTTTTGAGTGCTCTGTTAAAAATAAGATATTTTTGGCAGTTAAATCATTCATTAACGTCAATCAGCATGGGTTTGTTTCTGGTTGCTCTACTGTTTCAAATTTATGTTAGCTGTTTTTGGTGATTATAATTCTTTTATTGTGGCACCGGGAGTGCCACAAGGAAGCATTTTAGGTCCTCTTCTCTTTGTGCTGTTCATTAACGACATATCTCTTTTGCTATGTTAAATTTTCGTTATATGCAAATGACTTAAAAATATTCCCAATAATCAAATCCTTCAATATAACAGCAATTATACCACTTTTAAATCGTTCTCTGTGCTTAGCTTTGTCCGTCGAAATGCGTCCAGATTTTCCGACCCCTATGCTGTGTTCATCTGGAGACCATATTGTCTATTCTCAATTATTAGGATTGAACGTGTTCAAAATTTGCCCTCCACTCTTTAAAGTTTGTTGACCCAATACCGTCTATGAATCTCGTGTATTGCTATTAAATCTTAAATCACCTGAAAATCGTCGGTCGGTTCTCTGGCTTTCATTTGTTTTCAATGTTATTGACTCCTTATTTGTTAGGAAAAATTAATTTCAATATTCCTCAGCATTACCTTAAATTCATTTCCCCATTTAACGAGAAGCGTACTGTGCGTGAGTTTAACTTGATTTCTGAGAAAGTTCTAATTGATTTTTCTCACTCTAGGGCTTACTTCATTAACATCCTTAATTCTGTTTTTTATCTAAGTTATCTATTTGTTTAATTGAAATTTTATTATGCTAAAATTTTCTATTAGTCTGTAAGAATTAATGCTCATAGAATCAAGTAATTAAATAAATAAATATATGTACATATACTGTAGGCATAAACGTTAGGACGTATGGCAAAATAAAAAACTGCAACAGAATATCACCGATTCAGACAAATTTCGGCATTCGGCTCGTTTGTAGAACCAACGATGAGGGTAATATATTAATGGATCTGATCAATGGATTTGATCAGCGCCCATCATCAGAGCATCACTGATAAAAACTACTACAACAACAGGGTAATAGATGTGTTAATTAGCAATCGGAACAAAATTATGTTACGTATACGCCATGGTGATCCACATTCAAAAGGAACAACATTAACCCACAATAACAATAACTCATAACATTTACATACTTAAAAATATGGTGAGTAAAACCCTATAAATTTATTGTTTCCATTTAAATTTCAATTTTCTTTTTTCGGCCAGACAATGCTTTCTATAAAGTCTAAGTATGCAAACACATTTGTTATCACATAGGGTTCATCAATGCAAGATCGCTTTCCTATAATTCCGACCAGCTGGTGTTTGCTGAATGTTTCTTCGTTTATAACAAATATTGGTTCACCCTTCTGACGGCAATTGTGAGTCAAGCTCTTTACACACATTTGATTGGGGAGTAGTTGAGTAGTATGCTTATTAAGACATTCCGAGTCTGCCACAATCTGAACTTTCGTACCTCTTTCCATGAGGCCTAAATAAATAGTAATAATAATATGTAATTACATAAAAAAAAATTTAAAAGCATATTTACCACTCTTTGGATTGAATGCTGAAGTGTACATACAAGCTGGATACAGGTCGAAAGTGTATTCCACTTCACTGTTCATTTCAATCAACCCAATATTATTAAGCGCCGGATTTATTGAAAACTCGGGATGTATGTGAATTGCCTGAAAAGATTAAACGAGTTTAAAGGTAATTTGTTGAAGGTCTTAAATTTTGAATTACCTTCACTTTCTTCAATACAATGTACAAGTTCAGTTCCAGCGTTGTAACGTTATGAGAAGACAAGCAATCTGCCGCAGTTAACACAAAACGTGTGTCGATCAGAGCGAAATAACATAATTCCCAGAGTTTAAAACCACCTTCAGTAAAGGCCCCTAAGTGAACGGCTGCATCAGTAATACTTGTCACTCCAATCGATTGTAGTTTACTTGTTATCTTCTCGCAAGCTATAAAAATTAAAAGAACACAAACATTTAGCGTACAAAAGTATTTAGTAATGTAGTTCAGTGGAGTGCAAGAATAGAAGGACTAAATATATATTTAAGAGCGAACAATTAGGAGCGTTAGCCAACGTTTTAGTGAAAAGTTTAATATTAGCTTAAACTCGCTTTGGTGCTTATTGCGGTAATCACATCGAAATGGTTTAAACTTTCGCGAACTCTTCACTTCCAGTTCTGTAGAAATACCGTTCATTCTTTATGACCTTTGCAAATAATATGGATCTTACCAAGCTCTGCTGGACGTTTATGAAGAGTGGCAATATCGGGACTGTAAGTAGATTGTTGATAGAAACCAAAATTAAAGATATAAAAATGGAAGAAATAATATTCAAACTTGGTGAGTAAATTTATGTAAGTAGATAAGCTCTCTGGACACCATTGCAATATGAAGACAAATAAACAATAAATTAGGTGAAAATAGCACGTGTGGTAAATAAAAAATACGATTTAAAATAACTAAGAAAATCACGCTTTTAAAGCACTTTCCATTAAAAGGTGAAAAATAATTATTAATATAAAGTGACAGTAATATTGACCGAAAAATACTCGTATTATTGTTAGAAAAGCGTGGGATGCTTTGTGCCATAATTTTCGTACTTTACAATTAACTGAGTTCTAATTTAATAATGATGCTCTACTTATGATTAGTTATATATTAAACTACTTATTAATCACCTTTTTGTCAGCTGGTTGCTTAAATTTTTAAATTTATTTTCCAATAGACATTTTTCAGTCCACCTTTCTCCGTTGCTTTGACTTCCGCTGACAGCCTGAAAATTTTATTAGTAGAAAATTTCAATAGTATATCTTATAAAAAAAAGTTTGTCATAATTAAGCTTAAAGTAAAATATGGTTTACCTTTCATTCAACCTCTGCGTTTCTTTGACCTCCGCTGACAGCCTGAAAATTTTATTAGTAGAAAATTTCAATAGTATGTCTTATAGAAAGAGTTTGTCATATTGAAGCTTAAAGTAAAATACGATTTACCTTTCATTCCACCTTTCCTCCGTTGCTTTGACTTCCGCTGACAGCCTGTAAATTTCAATAAAACGTATATTAGACATACTTAATTCAAGAGAGGTTCTTTTCACCTTGCCAATGCCTCCTCTAAAATTCTTTGTTTTTCATCGATTAATTTCGCCAAGCTAATAAAATAGTCTATTTCCTTACTGGCATCTACATAAATTGAAAGTGGCACATCGTCCAGAGAAGGCTCGTGGTTAGATCCCTCTGTGCTCGCCGCTTGAAGAAGCGCGACGATGAGTGCAATAAATACCATTTTTTTTTCGCAATTCTCTAAGTTGAAATCAATTGGCAGTGATAATGAGAAAATTGTATATATTTTTTAATATATGCAATGGTTCTTCTTCCATTTATGATATAGAGTGTGTGTCCTTTGTTCAAGAAGTGCATGGTCTTACATTTAATAGTTAGCTAAAATTGGTGGATGCTTTTTATAAGAAGCTATCTTGTGTTTGAAGCACACTCTATCTATATTCTATCTCAAAGAGTGAAATATCACCATTCTGGTCCGCCATTAAATTCGCGATAGCAGACGGAACTTAATTAATTAAATAATTTAAACTATTCAATACAGTAAACTTGTTTTTATGACTAAAAACGAAAACGTTATTTCCGTTGTACGAATCCAAGGAGTTAAAATTTAAGCATTACTTCCAAATTTAAAACTGATTGATACTAATTTTCTTCGATTTTTTATTAACCACAAATTAACATTAAATATATTATGTTGATTTTTTGATAACATTTGATATAATGAAAAAGGGTAATATTTAAACATTTTCAAATTCAATTGAATTCAGCTCTTTCGTATCGTACATTTGACAATTTCATTGGAAAGGTGGCAAGATTTTAATTTCTCTATTAAATTTTCCAGTCAAAGTGGTTGCTACAATAATATTTCCTGTAGCCTTTTTGATTACCAAACGTGTACCATTACATAACATAATTGAGTTGGATTGAAATTAAGCTGAATAGTAATAGTTGAACAATTTTCAAGATTATGAGATGTCATTCCGAGTATATTTAGATAATTTACGTATCAACAACAGCAGCGAATGATTTAAAATAGGTACGTCTGATAGCCTGACAACAACTTTTGTAACTGGAATTTAATTTCGTCAACATCTACATTTTTGGCCGTAATGTAGCCTGATTACTGAGCCAGTTATGATCCAAACAATACAATTTTTTTTATCTTCAGTAATTTACTCTCAATTAATTAAATTTTTTCGTAAACAGGAGTGCAGAAATTGTCCAGCAGTATAACGCATATATTTGGCTGCAGTTCTATTCTACTATTTCCAATATCTAGCAATTGTCCGGAATATAGTTGCACTATTGAATCAATTTGCAATTGTGCGCCCATATTAATGATCCATCAAAGTACTTCAACATTTCACCATAAGAGCGATTGCTTAAACATTCCATAATCTCATTGGCTTAAGCCAAGCGAAGGTGACCGCGCGGTCGGTAATCAGTAGACAGTGGTAAGACAATTCCACCTGTGCAATGCTTCGAGAATATTTGGAAGCCATTATGTAATCATCTTAAATTATTATTGGACTTCATATCAACACTGCAGCTATTCCGCTATTTTTTTTATGTTAGGTGTCGCATTTGATTTGTTATGAATGCCTGTGCATTGTTCGCTCATAATCCAGCAAAGTAGCCGCAATGCCTTGGCAATGCAACTGTCAATAATATTATCTGTTGTGATGTCTGAACTGCCTAGTTCAGCAGCAACAAGCCGTATAATCCATATATGTACATATGTATACGAAAATTGCTGTACTCTTGCAGTAGCGAATTTCGAATACATGCTTATGATTTGAAATATATTTTTTGTATATATGAATTGTATTGACTTTTAACATAAGAAATAAAAAGTTTACTATGTCCGTTCCGTAGTTCTAAACTACCTACTTACCAATTTTCAGCCAAATCGGTTCAACCGTTCTTAATTTATAAATAGTGTTTTTAGCATTTCTCATACCTATATTTATTATATTATCACGAAACGCCCTTTATATTTACAAGTATTACGTAGGTATATATTTAAAAAACTATTCTTTCTTATTGCTTATAAAATACACGTTCTTTTCACTAAATCTTCATTTGCACTTGGAATTTGACGCACAAAATGAGGGAATCTACAAATTTAAAGCCACCTCTGAACGGCTGACGATTCTTATGAGAAGTCGGTTGGTTGCCTTTGCATCTCTAAGTACTATACCACGGTTGTCAATAAGGATATCTCAACTCAGAGTCTACTCCAGGAACAACCTCAAGAATGTGAAATTAAATTTTTTGGATTCTTTATAATTTTACCCGTCCAAGTTTACTTCAGAAATGAGTAACTAGTCGTTTGTTGTACAATGCAGAAATAAAACTGATTTAATTTCTGATTATTTTATATTTATTCATTCAACATATTTATATATTGAGCTCAAAAACGTTTTGGTGATAAGTGGAAAGCAGGACAGTCCTACGAATTATAATCAGTAGAGAGACACAACCGCTGCTTATAGTATGTTTGTTTTTTTATCGGTAAGCTGCTTTTATTAGATTAGATTAGATAAGGATAGAGGTATGCACCGCGACCTATGGTCTATTCTGCCCTCTCTTAGGTCACAACGACTCATCTAGCCGCAGCATATTGATGAAATCCAATATACTGCTAGGTGCTAGTGAAGCGATGCGATCCCTGTTTGGAAACATGATCATCTATAATGGAATGGTGTAGTGCAGACACCCTGCTGTCAAGAGTGATGCCAAGCACCTCCCTTCTTGCACTGGTTACAAAGGTGGGTTCGCACCCCACGTTTTCAATACTTAAATTCCTACTGACTATAAATTCAAGCATAGACTCACCCCGTGTATTGCAGTCCGTGCTGCCCCACTCCGTGTGATGGGCGTTGGCGGTGCATCCCAGGACGAGGGGCAGGTTATTCCTGCTGTAGTATTCCACAAGGTTTCCGACGGCCTCTGGGGGTGATGTCAGTGTGTCTCTCGGAAAGTAGGCCGCGTCCAGGACAAAGTCATCTCCTTCGTTGCTTTTAGCCTGCACAGCGACCAGATTACCTTATTATTCACCGTTTTGAGGCCTCTGACCTCTCCTGTGTAGATCCATGGCTCCTGGATCAGCAGTATGCCCAGACCATCCCCTGTGACCAGCTGGTCGTCGTCTTTGCCGTCCTTCGCGTTGCCACCCGAGGGCATGTCGTCGTCATCGTCCCTTGCATGCTCCTCAAACAGTGCCCACTCTTTTGGCGACAGCGCGTCCAGGAAGCTGAACTTCTGTTTAGCCCCTGAACTTCCCTTACCTGCACCGGTGCTTGTTTTATTGGTCTTGTCTTTGTCTATTCGTAGTTTTTGTTGCCTTGTTGTGTCCGTTGTTGTTATTCATCTTGTTCTTACGACCGTGGGCTCGACGTGGCGAGCCGTCCGGTCAACGTTTAGTAAAGGGAACGCAAAAGTCCATCGCGCCAGAGCCCCTTGGCGGGGTTAGGCCACCGTTACTTCCCAATGCAGCCCGGTATTGAGAAGGCTCCGTTAAAATACAGCCGAATTTACCTCCTGTCTGCAAATCATCCAATGGGCACGGGAGTCGCATAACACCCTGGATTAGGAGGTGGCAGCTGTTGGTTATCGCACGCTTTTATGTTCCGGTTTAAAATTAATTTACGTACAATTTGGGTCTGAAGGGTCATACCCAGCTTTTGTACTGATATTGATATACTCGTTTCAAAAAATTCACTCACATGACTCGTACAAGTTCATTTAATTTTTCTGTTTGTAATTAACCCCATATTGCACAGAGTAAAACATTTTTGGTTCAACAAACCTAAAACTAATGATTATATATATTTATATACAATATTAAAATGATCAGAAGGAAAGACGCGTTGAGTTCTGGATGTCTGTCGGTCTGTCTGTGCAAGCGATAACTTGAGTAAAAATGTAAATTTCTTGTTAAAACGTATACTAACATATTCCTCGGTACTCTTGACCATTATCACGCTCATAAAATACACTGGTAAACAAAATTAAACTTTTTTGTTTTATGAAGTTTATAAACTGTTTCTTACTAATCTGTCATCGCTGATTTCAAATCTACACTCAGTTTCTTACTAGAAGCTGTAGTTTTAGTGATACAGGTACTTCTTGAAATATCTTTACTCGGCTTACTTGAATTAAGTTTTAGTGCGAAAAATTACTAAATTTCATAATTACGATTAAACCGCTATGTCTACATTAAGAAGTACTTGTTTAAATGATTCGAATTGTTTTTGTGCTCTTTCTGGTGACTATATGTTTAGAAAATGCCGTTTAAATAAGTCTGATTCTATAAAAAAAGGCCTTTTTGGACTAATTTGGGAAGCCATTACAATTACAAATATGGCTGATATCGATCGTCGATCTTAAAATGGTACATTTTCTTTTGGGTCAACAAGGAGGATATATGAAATACCCTCTGTATATAAATTGCGGTCTGATAAAACAGTTTGTAAAAGCTCTAAACAAGAATGGGCAATGTGTTAAATATATCAGTAAAATATTTTCGAAATTGAGCACAGATAAAAATACCAGCCCTCAAATCAGGGAACTAATAAAGGACCAACTTTTTACTGTTTGTGTAACAGACAAGGAGAAATCTACATGGATTGAATTTATTTGGGTTGGGCAATAAATAGTCTCCAGACTACATTCAACACTTTGAGCAGCTCATGTTGCACCTCCAGAGACTGGGATGTAACATGATCATCAATACTTCCTTTCCAGCCATTTAGACTGCCTCCCTGAAAAATTAGGCGACTTAAGCGAAGAACAAGGAGAACGCTTTTATCAGGATATTCGCACTATGGATAAGCAATACCAGGGTGGTTGGAATGCAAATATGATAGCTGATTACTGCTGGAGCACTCAAAACAAAATTAATGTTTCTACTTATGCAAGAAAAGCACATAAAAGAAAGTTTTTTTAAATTTAAATAAGTGCAATATATTTTTTTTATAAAATTGTAGTTTTTTTTGCTAAAAATAGAATACAATGAATGTATGTTCATATTTTGAAAGCTAGAGTTACTGGAGAAAAACTGACTACAGATTTGGAATCAGCATGGCAAAATCATACAAAAGCAGGTGAGAAATTTCATAAAACAAAATACTGTTTCCCAGTGTTATAATTCGTAGAACTCTCTTGCTTTCCACTTATCACCAAATGTTCTAATGCACAAAATATAAGTAAATCACGTTGATTGACTAAATATATAGCAGAAATGAAATCAGATTGATGCCTTATTTCGAGAGTAAACTTGAACAAGTGAAATTATTAGAAATTCAAAAAATTTAATTTCTATTTCTGTCGTAGTGCATTCCTTAGAAAAGCAAATGCAACCAACCGACTTCTCATAGGAATCATCAGACATTAGGAGACGACTTTAAATTTGTAGTTTGTGCGCCAAAATTCTAAGTGGAAGTGAAGTCTTAGTGAAAATCACGCGTATTTCCTAAGCAAAAAGAAAGTATATAATTATATATGTACATACTTGTACACACATATATGTAATAAATATAAAGTGCGTTGTGTGATAATAATATTTGATATATTTGATGTCATAGTTAAGTTCTTTCTGCTGTGATAGTGATATTTTGCTCTTCAAGATAGGATTTAAATATAGTGTGCTCCACATACTAAGTAGCTTCGAATAAAAAGCATTCACCAATTCATAGTCAATCGATTGCAACATATAGAAAATGGCAAATAAAATGGTATTTTTTGGACTCATCGTCGCGCTTCTCCAAGCGGCGAGCACAGAGGGAGCTAACCACGAGCCTTCTCTGGACGATGTGCCACTTTCAATTTATGTAGATGCCGGTAAGGAAATAGACCATTTTATTAGCTTGGCGAAATCAATCGATGAAAAACAAAGAATTTTAGAGGAGGCATTGGCAAGGTAAAAAGCAGCAATCTTAAATTAAATAAGTCTAATACGTTTTAATGAAATTTACAGGCTGTCGGCAGAAGTCAAAGAAACGGAGCAACGGTGGAATGAAAGGTGAATCATATGTTACTTTAAGCTTAATTAGGGCTAAACTCTTTATAAATATAACATTTAAAACTCTCAGGCTGTCGGCGGAAGTCAAAGCAACGGAAGAACGGTGGACTGAGAGAGTCTCTATATTAGAAAGAAAATTGGAAGATTTAAGCAACAAGCAGAGACGTCCAGCAGAGCGTGGTAAGTCGCAATTTGTTTTGCAGGTGCTCTCTCTAATGCTCTTATTTGGATGCTCTATAATATAACTTCAGTCCAACAATACTTATACCACACTTTGTCGAATTTACTTTGTAATCGCGGTTAAAACGGTGTCTAACAAATTCTTTTGTTGCTGATTTTTTGTGTTTTTTTAATTATTTTTAGCTTGCGAGAAGATAACAAATGAATCGATTGGGGTGACCAGTATTAGTCGCACACCTTCTAATGTAACTTGGACTATACCATCTTATTTCACAGATAAGAAATTGTGCAGAGGCACTTATATTGACAGAGGTTTTGTGTTAACTACAGCAAATTGCATGCTTTCTTACAAATTTTCAGAAGTGGGATTTTTCTTCTCTGATTCGACAGTATTTAAGGAAATAAAGGCATTAAAAAAAAGGTTATAAAAAACTTATGTTTAAACGCATTTAATATTTCCAGGCAACTCACATACATCCTGAGTACTTAATAAAAAATCCTTTGTTTAACAATATTGGGTTGGTTGAACTGGACAGTGATGTGAAATACACCTCCGAGCTGTTACCACCTTGTATGTACACTTCAGAATTCTATCCAAAGAGTGGTAAATATGCTTTTAAATTTTTTTTTATGTAATTGCATATTATTATAACTATTTATGAAGGCCTCATGACAAAAGGTGGGAAAGTTCAGATTGTGGCGGACTCTGAATGTCTTGATACGAATACGAATAGTTCTAACCTGCACCACTCTCAAATATGTGCAAAATACTTAGAAAACACTTGTACTTATCCGGGTGAACCAATATTGATGGTAGACGAGGAAACGATCCCCAAATACAGGCTTTTCGGAATTGTAGGAACAAAATCTTGCAATAGTAAACCGTATGTGATAACAAGAGTGTTTAATTACTTGGACTTTATAGAAAGAATTGTCTGGCCGAAGAATGGAAATTTAATTTCGAATTAGGAATAAATTTATACGGCTTTACTCACCATATTTATAAATATGTAAACGTTATGAATTTTTGTTATTGTTGCATTTTGATTAAATTATATACGAAAATTGGCCATCATGGCGTATACGCAACTTCGCTTAATTCTAATATCATCACACTCAAAACCCAGCCAATTGATTAACATTTGTTGTTGTTTTAATACGTTTTACATACGGTGTTGTGGTCATAGACCTCGATCAGGTATAAATTCCGCTTATTGCAAAGTCATCATCTTATGCTGCTTTATAATATATATGTAGCTCAAGAGTAAATAAGAATATGGAGGCAAAATTATGGACGAAATTGATGTTGTTATTTATGGGGCTAAATTGATTCAAGTACCTTAAATGTCTTACCGCTGGTGGAGGACAGAAAATATTTTATTGAGCTGAGAATATTTTCATTTTGATTTTATTTTACTTTTTCTAGTCTTTATATACAATTTTAATTCTAACTTATCTAACTTAAACTATGTGTGGTTGTATGTATAATCACACGACATGGGGTTCTTTTTAATTGTACAACTCAATGCATGTGCGTGAATTTGTATGTTATCTACTTTATGTGATATGGGTTTCTTATTTGTGAGTACATATTTAGTTTTCACCATACGTATGTTTCGTACTAGCTCAGCATTATCAATGAAATGCATGTTCAAATACAATTGTACAATGAATACGCTGCTAATAACATACGCATGGTATAGGAATATACTAATCTACTTTTTTGTGCATTTTTTAAGAATTTAAATTTAAATTTTAGGAATTACTATGTAGTTTCTATGTGTATCCAAAAACTATGAGGTAGTAATACTCCAACGAAGCTACTTACATGAATGTACAATGGATATAAAACATGTGGTATATTTTTGTTTTATTAGGCATTGTAGAATATTATATTAAAACATTAAGAAATAAAATGCTAATTCTTAAAGAGAAAACGGCCGTATCATATAATAGATCCAGCTTTCTAAGTAGAAATATTCGCAATTATTTTAAAAATATTATTAAAATAGTTCCTGATACGTTGGCGTGACTTTTATAGTGAAGAATTAGAAAAATTTTGCGTTCACATCTTTTTGCTCACCACTTTGTTAATCTCTTCGGGTTGGTACACGATTTGACGTTCTGCTATTTTGGCATTCCTTAGTATGGTGAAAATTTCAGATGTCACATTATCATATATATCTTCCGATTTAAGTGATTTAAGTTCACTGCAAAGCATTGCACAAAAAGTATCTTCCTTATTTAGGTACACTTCCTCTTCTAATTCGTCTTGTAGTACATTATCTAAGTGTACATCACTTATATCACGCAGTCTTTTCTGAAATTAAAAACATGTTTAGGTAAGTTGAATGGCATATAAGTGGGTTAGTGAAGACCACGTACTGTAGGAGAAAATTCCAAATGTGCTCGCTCCGTCTGACTATTACTAAATAGTTTTCGCTTTTTCTGCAATCATTTCAGAATTGTAATTATCTTCATAACTATCTATAGCAAATAGAATTACCTTTTCAGCTATCATATATCCTTCGTTTGTAGAACGCTTTTGTTTTATTTCAGTTAAGGGATCAGCATTCTAAAAAGAAGTAAGATTTTTTTTGAGAAATTTTGTTAAATTTTAGAAAATTCTTTACTTGTCAATAGTTATATTTTGTAAATAAAATCGTCATAAATTGTTAGCAATAAAAACTGTATAAGTCGGTTAATCTTTAAGCAATTACTATTGAATCGCAAGTTATTTTTACTGGTTTGGAATCAAAATTTAGCTTGTATACAATACAAGTGTACGTACCTGTTCTGTAGGATTAAAAAAACGTAAAATTACTACAGGGTCCAAAAAGGTCATTTCATCATAGTAAAATAAACGTGGCTCATACAGAGAGTCTTCCGATTCGGTTTTCTTTCTCTCGACTTTCTTTTTCTCTATAACGTAACTAGTGCGCAAATTTTTAATTTTCTTCTTCACATCCTCCACATTTCTTCCGAAGAAATTAGCGATTTCCCTCCATGCATTTTTCTTCAAGTCCAGGTCTTTATATTCTGGATTTAGACAATTCCATAGACACTCAGACTCTCTGTACATGGATATCAAATCGAAAATTTCCGCCTGCCGCCAATCCATTGTCAATCCCTTGACGTTGTTTTATGTACCACAAACTATTGCCTTCGTGGAGCACTACTCACATACATATATACAAATGCACAATAGACTAAAAAAATATATGTAAAGAATTGTTTTCTATCCACTTGTTAAATGCGTAAACTGAGAAAAAACTAATTTTTTGAATTTATTATTACGTATATATATAAAGTATTCAGTTTACTCTCATTTCTTTATCTTACTATTTAGCTTTCTGTTGTGATAATAAAATGTTTCTTCCACGTTTTTAGAATGATATACGCATCAAGATAAATTTAGTAAGCGATGTTGGCTGCTACAGCTGACTGAGTCAGAATTGATTTTTTGTGGTGAATATAACATTTCAAAGTGTTGTAAAAGTAAAGATACATATATAAGTATATTTATACAATGATATTTAAGGAATTTCAAAAATTTTAGAACTAATATAATTGGCATTGCATAAACTGTTGTGAAGCGTTTTTTTTTTAAATTTATAATAATACATTAAGCTGGTCAGTAACATGTTGAAATTTTTTTCACTTCGGTGTTTATCATCAAAATAGATTATGGTCGTTTGTAATTTAACAGGTACATATTGTTAAATGTTGATTTGTTTTGCCAGGAAATGTCTATTTTAAAAATGTGTTTAGCTGTATAAAAATATATTTCATATATATTTATTTTCATATTGTTCCCAGCCACGGAAAAAAATTGGTGTGTACAATTTTTAAGCTTGATAGTTTCAAATTATCTGTAGCACTTGCACACCAAAGTGTGTTTTAAAAGCTCACTTTAACTCGTGATATAAAACCGACTGTCATCAGTATCTAATTTTAATAACACAATTTTTAACAAACATTAAAAAGCCAAGGGACGCAATATTTTGCCTTTTCATAATTCGCTATTTTTATTAGAATATACTTCAACTGACGTGTAATGCTCTAGTTTGTGTTAAAATTTTTGCTTTCATTTTCGGATTGATAATTCCTTTGACGTTCAGCAATTTTTGCGTTTTTCACAGCAGTAAAAATTTCGGATGTCACATTGTCATAGGTCTCTTCCGATTTTAGTAATTTAAGCTCGCTACAAAGCATAGCACAAAATGTGTCTTCTTTGTATGACTTTGTCTGGGTTTTTGTCACTTTTTGGGTCTGCTCTTTTAAGACATCATTGACAAGTAGACGTCTTTTCTGAAATAAATATATAACGAGACATATTTAAATTTATATTATTGGATGCATCTATATATACAAATCTTACGGTAGGTTTTGACTCAATTTGGATCATATTGAGAGAATCATCTGAATCAAGAGGTACTTTCTGTAAAGAAAATAATAATTTGAAATGATGCAAATGTATGTACATATACACAATGCACGATAGTTACTACTGTTGTTCTTAACTCTGCCTGAGGCGACGCGCGATCACTGTCAGATTCACTAGAATTCATACGTTGTCTCTAAAATTAATAAGTTATATTTATAAAAAAAAAAATTATTAAAAAGTTGATTACGTTTAAATATGTACCTTTCTCTCGCTTAGAGTTAAATCATGTTTCGGTGAATTGCCTTTCGATTCGCTTAACGGGTCGTCGTTCTATGAAATTAATAAACACATTAAGTTATTCAGTTAGAATTAATAATAGGGGTTGCATAAAACATACATTTTCCTGTTCAGTATATTTACGTAAAGATACAACAGGAGCTAAAAAATCCATCTGCTGGTAATAATATAAGCGTGGTTCGTACGTTGGGACACCATGTTTATTTTTACTGGCCTCTACTTTTTTCCTTTCCGCAGAATAGCAGTTACGTAAATGTTTCATCTTTTTCTTCAATTCATCAACTTCTTTGCCGAAATGTATGGAAAGCTCTATCCAAGCACTTTTCTTCATATCGGGTTGCTTATAATCTGGACTGTAGCAATTCCATAGACACTCATATTGTCTATATATACTGAGCAATTTAAGAACATCTGTATGCCGAAAATCCATTTCTAATAAGTATATAACTTTTGTTTTCCGGTATTTGAAAATTCAGTTAATCTGCGATAGGAAGTTATATGATAGGAATATCTGTCTTTACATATTTCAGTGTCAATTATAAATTGTGCGCCAGCTGTACTAGCAACTTTTTCTCGTAGCGTATTACAAACTTTCTGAAACACTTTTATTTATAGTATCTAAATTAACAAATATATTATAGAATTAACACTTGTATACACTTGCACTTCTCTTATATAGCTTATAAATAAGTTGTTAAAGAATTTCCAAAACATTTAAAGTAAATGCTTTTTATCGCCAGGCAAACAACACAAAAATGACAGCTTGCTCGTGGAACGACATTTTGATTGACTTATATGCCGTTTCCACAAGCAAGCAATATGCTGCGTTATCTCTTATGCTAAGTGCTGTACATGACACATACCTGTGCTACCAGAGAACATACATTCTTTTACGTTGTCTGGTGGAACTATGAAATTTACTTTCAACGGAAGCGGAGCTAAGTAAGTTGTTACCATTACTCAAAAAGGATTAATTGCATATATCTACAAATAAATAAATTTTTTGTTTGTTTGCAACATAAAGTAATTTTGTTTTAATATTCAAATATATATATTGAATCTGAACACCCTGCACTTAATACGGTAAACTAATTCGATAACTCTGCTGCGTTGCCAACACATTGTGTTTGATTGGTGGTGCGTGTCTTGGCTAAATTAGTTTGTATAAGCAGAGAACGTAAAATAACAAAAATGTGCAGGCAGAGAACTTAGAACACTGAGAACATTGTCTAAGCCTAAGATTTATACAATGACTGAGAAGTAACAAATTTAATTCTGTATGCTGCTCGATTGGATGGCTAACTGAGCTGAAAAACACCGAGTAGGGAATTCACCATTTTCTAATGTACATATTCGCTACAATTTAGCAGAAATATGTAAACAACTAACTGACAAAAAGTAACAATAAAGCAGTGGCTAAAGCGGCCGCGATTCCACTTTTGAGGTAGCTTAGGCCGTAAGCGTAAAGGAGTTCAGCTCAATGCGAATACGAGATCTGAAACTCATGAATTTACTTAACATTCAGTTACTTTAATATCAGTCCATTTGTTTATTAAATGTTCCGAATGCATACAACCATATAAATATAATGAAACACAGTAAATTTGGTTCTCATTTTTATTTTCTATATTTTTGATTCCAGTTATTATTTTAATATTTTATTTGTTTCTATGTAATTTTTCTGCCTTATTCCTACGGCTAAATAATATTTTATAATATATTATATTATTTGCAAACTTACTAGTGCTTAACTATTTTGTATGTTTACCATTTGATTTACGCTTCATACTTATTTCTTTTATTTTCAAATCTACGCCTGTATTTCTTCTGAATTTTGGTTTTTTAGTAGATTTTAAAAACTTCTTTATTTTAATTTATGTATATTTACGCACACTACATACATACTTAACTAAATATCGTTTATTTGTCGCAAATTGGCTATTTTCCAATATAAATTTTACATAAATTATTTATGAATGATTATTATGCGAAACCCATTAAATGAATGAATAGTTTTTAAAACGCTAAATTTATAAATGTTTTTCGTTTTTTCTAATATTTTTTCAGATATTTAAAAAAATTTATTTTATGAGCTTTATTTGCTGTAAAATATTTACAAATACATAGGTTAGTTTCCTACCAAACTTAAACTTTTTTTATTTTTAATTTTTTATTTTAATTTATATTGCCATTTTATTAACATAATTATTATTTTTTCATTTGTTTATTTGACTTTTTATTTAAATTTTGTCTTAATTTCTTTTTTTTTTTATCTAATAATTTTTTTTTTATTTTGATCTAATAATTTTTTTAATTCTAATTTATATTTATGTTTTAATTATTATATATAGTTTATTTTATTTATTATTTTATTTTTTAATTTTCTTTAAAATGCTGTGTTATTATTATTTTTTAGTTTAACCTTTTTTTAATTTAAAATTTGCATGTCTTTTTTAATTATTTTAATATTGTCTAATGCAATGGTGCAATCTCCGAAGAAACTCGCGAACCAATACGCGCATATGTGACACATAAAAATAGGATGGATCTGCTGCAGGATCAAGCTCATAAAGTAATTGAAAAAATGCTACAGCTGGAACTCGGAACCGAGGTAGCAATCATTAGCGAGCAATACAAGATAGAGCAAGATGGAGCATGGTTGGAAGACATCACTGCAACAGCGGCAATATAACTAACGGAAAGCAGCAGCTTCAAAAAAATAAACAGCGGGAGAGGAAAAAGGTTTATCTGGATAAGCAACAAAAACATCACGACATAGCTGCTACCTGACACCGAGCGATCCTTTTTTAAGATTTCCAAGCAAAGCTCGATGCCATAGGGGACGCCGCGCAATATAAACAACGTCACTTAATCATAGACAGAGATTTCAACGCCAAGACCATGGAATGGGGCACACCGAGAACAAATTCGAGGAAAGGCAGAATCCAACGGCAAAGGAGACTCAGAAACATTATCAACATACAGACCTCTGTGCATGCTAGATATAGCAGGAAAGCTACTAGAAATACTATTGAAACCCCGCATTATAGCCGCCAAAACCAATGCTGGAGGCCAAGCAAAGCAACAACATGCAGGTCTACCATCGGAGCTGTTAAAGACGTCGTGCGTAGCGTGGAGGAAGAACGCCGAAAGAACAACTTCTCTAGGCCAATAGTCCTCCTCGCAACAATAGATATAAGAAACACATTTAATAGCGCAGGATGGATAAATATGATAGACGCTCTAGAAAATGGAATTTTAAACGTCGAAATGCCAGACGACTGCACACTGGACGCAGGGAGAGTAGAAACTGACCCGGAAACTTTGCTCTGAGGTAATGCGAAAGCGGTCGCGGAGTAAGGGAAAAATCCTTGATAAAAGGATAGAAGTGTTTTAGTGGGTTCACCACTCACTTAGCAAGACGATCCGACAAATGAATCTTTGAAGAAATTGTTCAAAACGGATTACTACAGCATATAGCTGCCATACAAACTGAACGATCGAAATCAAGTGTTTATATGGAAAACTTTTTTGTTTGAAGAAATATCTTCAAGAAATTTGGAAAGGAGTTATTTTCTAATGCAACGGTGCAGTCTCCGAATTCTGGTAACGAATGTTTTGTATTTGTGAAGGGTATCTTAGCTTCAGTGCAACCGAAGTTAACGTTTTTTATTTTTTTTTTTTTTGATTTCTAGTTTAACTTTGTTACTTTCTTCTATTTTATTTTAGGTTTTTATTTTAATTATATTATTTTAATTTTATTTTAATTCGTTTGCGTTTATATGCATATTTATTATTTTTATTTGGTTTTTATATTATTTTTCTTCTTCTTAATTTTTAATTATTTGCGTATTCTTATATATATTTTTTATATATTTTTTTATATAATATCATATCTTTTTCTATTTCAATTTTGTTTACATTATGTTTGTTTCCACTTTTATTTATTAGTTTGTTTTCATTTTTATATTTGTATTTGAGCATTTAGTGGTTCCCTACGTTGAACAGCACTTAAAAAAAATTTAAATTTTGGCTTAAGTTTATTACTTAATTTTATTTATTTATTTTCATTCTATTGCATTGTAGAACATGTGTGAATACAAGCTGATGTTATCACTGAGAAAATTAAAATTATTTCCATTGAACTGAATTAAGTATAAATACGCTAATGTAATTTTTATTTTTATTTTTATTTTTTTAATTTAATTTTTATTTTTTTAATGTTTATTTAGCTTCTAATGTAATTTTAATTTTTTAGTTTATTTTTTTTTTTTTTAAAACTTGTTTATTGAAATTTTGATTTTGCTTAATTTTTTAAATATATTTTATGTCTTAATGTTATTCGTTTTTTATATTTATTAATTCTTTTTTGATATTATTATGACTTTTTATGTTATTTTTACTTTTGTTTTTTAAGAAAATTTTCCTTTTCTCTTTCAATATTATTTAAATATTTTAAAATTTCTTTTTGGTTTTTTGTTTTTTTATTTTTATTTTATATTTTCGTCATGTCTCGTTATTTTGTGTTTTATTTTATTTTTTTTTGGGGGGTTTTTAATATTGCTTTCAAATTTCTTAAGTTAAGTACATTTTAAATTTGATTCATCTTTATCATCGTATTAACGTCAGTATTCAGCAGTGGTTTACACTAACAATATAAAAAATTTTGAAAATAAATATTATATTATATTTCTAAAATTGATGCACTGATTGCAATTCTAAGTATTTACAGCTGTGTTTGTGTATTGTATGTACATACATATGTACATAAATAAAAATATATCATTTATTATTTATTGTAATAATACTAATCTATAAGTATTCTTAAACCAGCGAGAATAAAGTTCCTCTCAATAATATTATTATATACAAATATTACGGGAAATTATGCATACGCTTTATATACAATTGTACATATGTCTGTATTATAAATAGAGTTAAAATAATAAACTTAACTCATTCCTATGAGGTGTGAATTTTTATAATTTCACAAAGCAAACTGTGTGAACAAAGTTGTAAGTCACTCAAAACGACTGTCACTTTGTCAAACCGATAGTCACTGTGTTAAAACCTCACTCTCACTATGCTGAAGCGGTTCTCACTGTGTTAAAACGGCTCTCACTATATCAAAACAGCTGATGCTGTGAAATTTAGTTTGACAGAAAATATAAATGAAAATGTCAAGAAATTAGCATGGACTAAGAACATTTATAAAAAACTATTTACTATTGAAAACTAATCGGTAAACTAGAACAATATCTTTTGGCTTAACAAAAAACATTTAGAAAATTGTAACAGTAGATAGGGCGAAAGTGCGAGAGTACCATATATTGTTTGTAATTTCTATTGTTAAACTCACTAAGGCTAATTTTTTGATTTAACGGAAAAATTAGTGAACTCGTACTTTTAGAGAGAGCGATTGACACATATTTTCGCTCAAAAGTGTTCTTGTCTTTGCTCTTGTGAGTCGTTTCTATTACAAAACTAATTTTTTAAATTTAAAAGAAGTAAACACTAACAGTTAGAGAGAGCCAGACTGTCACATTTGTTTACAAAACTAGTTTTCTCGATCTTTAACTAGCTTCGCATTCTCTCTTATAGAAAATATACTGTTGGAGCTGTCAAAGTGTGCGGTCAATATAAATTCAGCAAAACACTGTCTACACATGTGATTTTTGTGAAGTAATTTGCTTGTAAAGCTGTAATTTTGCGATTCAATTAAGGTTAGACAATAATTTTTTTTAAACAATTTTGTAACAATAGTTTAACGTATTGCAGGGGGGGACAACAGAAATCAGCAACAAAAACAGGCATTTCGCGAGCAAATAGCCATTTACTGTGCCTTTTTTAGGGGTGTAAAAGAAAAGCTGGTTGTTTGTTGTAAAACGGACTATGGGTAGAAATAAAAAGTTCGAATTTTAATTTGGTTTATATAATATTTT